GATTACTGCCAAAAAAAGACAGCACACCTCTAAAATAAATTGCACAACCTTAAAAAGGCTGTTAGAATTTACTGTACATTTATAATATTATATTACATATATTTGCTTATAATAATATATTATAATTAAAAACATACATTTCTACGGGCTATGGAAACTATATTTGACAAAAAAAAAAAAAAAAAACCAATATTGAATTCTAAAAAGGTTATCGCCATGCTTGACTTCCTCTCCAATTTACTATCCATTTTTTCCTCAAACCCTCTTGCGATTTTTCTCATCTTCTGCAATAATCCCTTAGTTGCAGAGATCGGAACATAGAGGAAGAGGAAGATGTGAAAGGAAAAGACTTTTGTTTTTCTTGTTTTGTTTTGTTTTGTTTTTCTACTACACAACAATCAATGGATTCTCTGTTTTGCAATCAGGTACGGGATTCTTCTAGTAATAAACTCCATGGATGCTCCAAGGCTCAAGCTTGTTTGAAGAAGATTCTCCACATAATTTCAACAGTTCCGCCATGCGAAGTCCCAAATTCGTTGCTTCGAGGTGAAAGAGGGTTTGGTATTGACTTGAACTTGAGGTTGGGTTCTTTGGGTACTTTTCTTGAGAGTGAGAAATCTGCGGAGAATAGCTTCGTGGGAAAAGAGAAAGAGACAGAGACCGATTCATCTTTTGGGGTCGAAGTCAATCGTGATGCAGAATACATGGAAGCAATCGCAGTTGCAGAGAAGGCGACGCCGGAGGCATCTTCAGACATCACAGATTTGCCTAAAGTGGAAATGCAAGACGGCAAGGGCGTGGAAAGCGGCGACGGAAACGAGAACGGTGGCGACACCGGGGCCGCACCGTTTATTAACAAACGGCGTAGAGACAACGATTCGTTAACACTGCTTATCGAGGCAGCGGAGATGATCTCCGACATGGGTTTGCCGAATCAGGAACAAAAAGTTGCCCAAAGTGAGGAGATCAAAAGTGGGTCAGAGAAAAAGAGTTGGACGGAGGAGTGTGAGATTGGGGAGTTTGAGGATACATCGCCGGTGGTGAGAACGCGGAGAGGCAGGAGTCAAGTGTTACCGTACAGATACAGAGACTCTGTTCTGGAGCCATTGAGGCGACCACAAAGATCAGCTGTAGTTTCCAAGGAAAAACGTAGGTCCAAGTAAAAAGGAAAAATGTATGAATTACTGCAGAGTGGCAGAAGAAAACCAGAAATCATGGCATCTGTGTTAATGTTATGTCTTTTCGCTTTTATTTTTCCTATTTGTATCTGTAATTTCTATCCAAAGGTGTAGAATTTGAGAATGAGGATATCTTAATTGTTGCGTCTTCTTCTACTTCTTATAAAAGAAAACGCTGCTTCTTTTTCTTTTAACAACAAAACGCAAAATATATATGAAATAGTGCTTTATCGGCTTTCTTTTAAAAATTAGAAAAAGTATTATTTTAAAATTATTATTATTTTAATAAATATTAATTTAAAAAATTAAAATATTTTATTTTTAAAATATGAATTAAGATATTATATATATATTTTTTTAACTTTTTAAAACTAAAACGAATTAACACTAACTCCAAATATATATATATATACACGCACATGAAAAAAAAGTGCATATTAATTTGATTTTTTAAAAATTTAAAAATTTATTTTATTTAATATTAATGTTTAAATTTAAAAATTGATCAGGTTTTTAAATTTTAAATTAAAATTTTAATTTTTAAATATAGATTAAAATTTTAATTTTTTTAAGAATCAAAATTAATATATATTATTTTTTATATATATTTATTATGTAATTTAATAATAAAATTATTTATATTTTTAACCATAAATTTAAAATTTAATCATTAATATTGTGCAAAAATATAGAGCCTAAAAAGGGCTGATACATTGTAAGATTGAATTTGTATAAGAAATTCAATGTTTTCAACTGAGTGATGATGGCAAAAAAAATATATCTTGATTAAATATATTAATACATAATTTTTATTAATATTTAGTATCTAAAAATTATATTAAATTTTAATTAATTTAAAATCAAAACGCATAAAATCTTATAAAAAGAACTTTCTTAATGTTTGTTACATAAAATTTAAATTTAAAATTTTATTTAAAAAAAATAAATTCTTTCTTCCTAAATTAAGAAGCTATTGGTAAATATATTAACCCATTTCAAATCATAAAGACATAGTCATACACTATTACTATTATTCTTTCTGACTTAATTATCATTTTCTTGTTGACTTATGCCTTAAACATTGTGCCAAAACTTCATTAACCTTTCTTTCGTGTTTTTCTATGATGTAGTACACATATACACAGAAAAAAATTTGATCCCAAATAGACAATTATGAGTTGGGTGGTGGTGTTGAGGAAATTAAGGTACATTGCGAAATCAATGGGCAGTTGTCTTTGGCTTTTGTCGTGAAGTCCCATGTTAAGAAATGATGGTCAACTGTCACGTGATGGTCAAACTTTTCGTTCCATTTCAGAACGCAAAAGTTCGCCAAATTGCCTACGGGAACTAAACAAATTTAGTCAATTTTATATTTAAAATTATTGATTCTGTATTGTTTGCTTGTTAAAAGTAATTTATTTTTTTTTCTACCAAAAAAAAAAAGTAATTTATTTTTTTACTTTTTTATTTTAATTGTATAATAAAAAATAATTATATCTTATTTTTTATCTCATCTCACTTATATGTTATAAAATTTGAATTTATAATTTTTTACTTTCAACGAAAATAGATAATCATTAAATTATTTAGATAATTGACGTTAAAAGTAATTTATAATCGAAGAAATAACTACTTTTTTATCTTAAAATAATTATTATTTTTAAAATTTAAATTTATTTTAAATTAATTATCTTTCTATTTTTAAAAATAGATAAATATTTTTTCTCTATTTTAAGCATATCATTATTAATTTATTTTGACTAATTTTTTTCATCACAAAACATCTTACTTTATTTTTTACTTTTTCTTAAAAATAATATATATAAATAAATATATAATTTATCCTTAAAATTTTATTTTAGAGAAAAAAATTAAAAAAAATGATAATTATTATGAATTAAAGTGCTTTTTGTCATTTCATTTAATATTTTATTAAAATTACGTAGTTTTAAAATAATTTTCCTCATAATCTTTAGAAGATAAAGCAAATAAGTATTAATCTCGATAAAAGAATAGTGTCTATCCGCTTTACCTCTTAAAAATTATGAGAAAAATTATTTTAAAATTATGTCTTTTAAATAAATCTCTATTAAAAAAGACTACTAAAATACCCTATTTTTAAACTATGAATTAGAGTGTTTTTGTCTTTCCATTTAATATTTTATTAAAATTATATACTTTTGAAATAATTTTCTTCCTGCTCTTTAAGAGATAAGGCGGATGAGTCATAATCTCAATAAGGGAATAGTGCCTATCCGTCTTACCTTCTAAAGGTTAAGAGAAAAATCATTTTAAAATTATGTCATTTAAATAATCTTCATTGAAAAAAACTAAAATACCTTATTTTTAAATCATGAATTAAAGTATTTTTTGTCTTTT